GCCGGGACGGAGCACGCCGGGTTCTCACCGGACCAGGCTCTCACATCACCAAGCGCGAAGCGCCGTGAGGTATTCAGCGAGTCCCATGAAGGGTGCGCTGCATCCTGCCAAGGGTGTTCGGCATCTTGTCCTTACTTGCTTGCGTACGGATGACAGCTGCGTATGCTTTAATTCATTTTCCGGTGCTTTCACTCCCAAAGACAGTTGTAAGCACTGAGTAACTGCCTCAAGGGTGCTTGACCATTTTAACAGAACGTGGTGCATCCCCCTTGCGCGGAGTGAGGATTCTCCACCCCGCACAACATGATCTACTCGACCACCATTATGGTTACCGCCAAAAAAAAGCGGTAACCTGGTTGCCGAGTTCACGAAGTGAATTGGCCTGTTTTTCAACGTCGTTGCCAAGCGACGAATACCCAATCCCGATGGCAAACACCCGGGGGGGGCGGCTTGTTTTACAACGTCGTTGCCAAGCGACGAAAACCCAACCCCGATGGCAAACACCGGAGGGGGGCGCACGGGCGGCAGGGGGTTCGCAATGCATTCATGACGTTGAAAATACTCCTGCCACCTCCATATCACATTCAGTCCAGGACTTGTCTTGCTGCCCGTCTTGTCATTTCCCCCGTGATTTCCTCGGCCCCACCTTGTCCTTCGATTGTGTTTGTCTACGCTTAGCCTGCCCGCCGTGTCATTGTAACTGCTGTATGCTCATGTCGTTTTTGTGTTGTACGATATTTTAGTAGTTTTTTTTGGTGAGGACACATCAGGCGCGGCCTGTAGTCAAGAAATTATCGTTGGGGATCGGTCCGCCGAAGACGTGCTTGTGTGTTGGGCTCGGCGCGGTTCATGCCGAAAGTGCCGTGTTTACAAGTATCTCTACGTACCTTTGGACGGGAATCGCTTTTTATTTTTGTTCATTGACTCCTTTCGCTGGGTGTTTTTTTTTTTTCTGTCGATGAAGTCACGTCAGCACAGCAGTTCACGCTGAGAGCGATGTTTTCCTTTCATTCGAAGTGAAATGATTTCCCCAACGACACACTTGTTCGTTGAGTTCTCTTCCTCGGATGAGTTTCTTTTTCTTTTTGTTTTTTGTCACTTTAGCATCAGCGCTCACAAAAAGCGTTACTGCCGGTTAGAGGCTCCACTCCGTGGCCAGTCACACATAAGGGTAACTCTCCCTGAGGACCCCTACACTGCGGTGCTCACCTTCACGCGCCTTGCAGCCAAGAATTAAACGGAACCCCCTTTTTTTTTTGTCTTGTCGATTCCCCCTCGAAACCGTGTGTCTCGCGGCCGCCACCGCAGGTGCTGATGCTTTCCTGCATCATCCTGACGGTGCTAGCCTACTACGGCAGCAGGGTCAACCCCTCCACGTCCGTGGGGAGCGGCGGCGGCGGCGGCGGTGGCGGCGATGGCCATGGGGGCGGCGAAGGGGGGCGTGCTTCGATCGAGGAGTACCCGCGGGGAGGAGGGGTTGAATTCTTGGGCAGGAACGGGACGGCACTGAGTGAGAGGTGCGTGCGTCTTCTGGTCGCATGTTCCACCAGAGTTAGGTTGTTGTTGTTGTTGTTGTTGTTGTCATTGTTGTTGTTGTTGTTGTTGTTGTTGTTGTTGTTGTTGTTGTTGTTGTTGTTGTTGTTGTTGTTGTTGCCTTCTGCCCAAGTCCCGAAATTCAGAGGTACACAATGATTGTAACTCTCGTTTCGAAGCTCGTCAATACACCGATCTTGTTCTATTAGTTACGGCCCTGTTTTCACGTTGATCTTGTCCATCCGTATCGGCCTACGGGTCTGCCGCTCTTACCCCCGCGTTGTCGCCGAAGCTCTTAGCACACATCGTACACGTTGGCGTTGGTTTCGGTGTGCTGGACCGTGCTGCTAGTAGTCGGGAGGGGCTGCCGCCTGGAACATTGTGAGATTTCCTTGGCAGCAGTAGTGGCGCCTTGTAGGGCCATGCGAAAGCAGTCCTACCCGATCGATAGTTTTTCGCCGTGGAGGAAAAGCATTGCTGGTCTCTTTACCTACGCGTGCACCTTTCCCTCTCTCAACACACCAGCAGCGCACCCTCCCCCCTACTCGACAACATGTTGTGCTCCGTACCCCCGGTCGTACCCCCCCCCGCCAGAGCCTGGGCTCCGTCCCGACTATATAGGGATGCGAGGTCAATGGTCTAGCGACTACGGCACGCACGACTATGAGCACACACACCCCATACCCACTTCTCGTCGCCTGACCCCTCCCCCCCTCCCCCCGATTTCCCAGGGAGAGATGGCAGTATGAAGCAGGGTGGGGAGAGGTCCCCTTGGACGACTTGGAGGAATGGGCGCCACTAGGACCGGACCCTATAGGTGACACGTTGGCGCCCATTTGTGCTCTGAGAGCGAAACACCTGTAGGTTTAGACGGCACAGTCCTTGTGTTTCATGGCGCCTTGTGGCGCATTCTGTTCCGTTTTCAAGACTGGGTCCTAAAGGTGAAACGCTTGGGGCCGACACACGATAGTTCGCCATGTTTATTTTCGCGTGGCCGCCGCCCTATTCTTTCTCTTTCCAGCTGTGCGATAGACCATCCCCACTCACGATGTTCTGAGAAATTGTTCAGGATGTTTCAATTCGAAAATGCACGGACGGTGGGCAACATTCAGAAATTGTATTTTTTCGTATCATCTCATACCTCTGTACCCTACAGTACGATGGACGACAACGACCGCCTGGTTCAACTTTTGCGGTGAACTGTGTCCATCCCTTTGTTTTTTCCATCGTGTACTGCATTAACGTCTACCCAGTTCACGTTTGCCATGCCCTTACCTGCATACGTTTCCCTCTATCCCATGCTACGTTTACCGCTACCAAACCCCTGCCAACGACAAAGGGTGCCTGCCGAGAACGACTGCCAACCCGGCGGGGCAGCCGAAAGTTCTCGTGGGATGGGGGTTCGGAGCCCCTAAACTAACCCTCTACGGATACCGTGCGCTAGAGAGCATCATGCACGTCTACCCAGGGGCGCGCGTCAGAGTCATAACCGTTGGTGAGTCTGTAGGTGTTTTTTTCTAGGGGAGATTGGGCACACAAGAAACCGGGGAGTAAGAGAGGGAATTTTGCCACAAGGGGCTTTCGGACTACTGGTGAACCCCCCTGCTCCTCTGTAATCCAATGTGGTGTACCGACATGAGGCCTTGTCTTGCGGGAGATGGGGTGGGTCCCGTCATGGTATTTTTTGGGTGTCCAATGGCAGATCCCGTGGCAACTGACCTCGACAACACGTCAAGTTTTTTCGCATGTCGTCTCTTCTCGACTTGCCATCAGCTCAACTCGTGCTCCGCCGAGACCAAAAAAGCCAACTCGCCCCAGTTTGCTCTAACCCAACCTGTTTAATGCACTCACGTACTTTGCACGACCACGGGGTGTTCTGGACCGGCGGCTTGTCTACGAACACGGATGATCTACGAACACGTGCGATCTGCGACCACGGGTGATCTACGAAAACCAGGACCGCGGTTCGCGTTCTTTTACAAGTGGGCGAACATCCTCGCTCTCACGCAGTTCCAGAAGTACAGCAAGAGGGGTTACGATGTCAAGGTGCGCTGTGCGAACAAACGACTCCCCCTCCCCTACACACACACGGCTTTGTTGTCCCCCCTACACGTACAAACCGTTCGTTTGATTTATGGCGCAGCATTTGGTGTTCTAGTTCGCGGTCGACAGGTTGGGACATTTTGTTTTGGTGTCCTTGAAAATTTGTCAATGTAATACGTATTTAAAGCTCTAATTAGTGTTTTCTTGTATTCATATTACTAAGGTACGCGAAAAAGTGTGAGCGTTGCTCGGTTTTTCCTACAAAGTGAACGGCTCACTTTCCCCTTGCCATCTTTCTGGAGGACGAATTCCTCCTTTTTCTTTTTTTTTGTCTCCCAGAGTTCCCGTTGTTCTCGGAACGTTTCGAAGGATCGGTTGTTCCGCGTGGGTCCTACTCTTATTCCGACACACCTGCATCCACCCACACTGATTTCCGTTCTCTGCCCGTTATCATGCTTTCTTTCCCGCGATGACATGCATGATGACGGGCTGCATTTTTCTATCAACAAGTCTACATACCAACCATCATGTTGCATAGTTGGAGACACACTTCGGGAAGACTCTCGCTACCGTGAAATTGAACGTTATGCTATCAAAAATACACATCAACTATCTTGTGCATAGGTGGAGATATGCTTCGGGAAGGCGCTCGCTGCCGTGAAGTTGAACGTTATGCTATCAAAAATACATGTATTAACTATCTTGTGCATAGGTGGAGATAGGCTTCGGGAAGACTCTCGCTGCCGTGAAGTTGAACCTTATGCTATCAAAAATACACATCAAATATCATGTGCATAGGTGGAGATATACTTCGGGAAGGCGCTCGCTACCGTGAAGTTGAACGGGAGGATGATTCCGGGGCACAAGTGGTGGCGTCGTCACGAGGACACCTTGCTTTACGGCCAAGGGATGAAGATGTCCACTTTCCAGGTGAGGACCGCCTTCCTAATTTATGAGGAAATGGAACAAGGAGGGGGGACGCAAACCCTATTCCATAACCCTTTCCCTAACCCAAGTTCCCCGAGTGTATGCTTTATCCAACATGTTTGCTTAATACGAAAACCTACGAAGGCTACTGTCGGGTGATGTGTTGTGTTTCCCATCGAATGCCGAACAAAGCTTGGATTGGATTGATGCTCCCGTCCTCGTTTTCTGTTCTTGTGTACACTGTACGTTTTTTTTTTTTGTCTGTGCTTGGAGTCTTCGTCCTGGTGACATCATACACCTACACACCTGAAATTGGGTTAAGCCGTAGCCCGCAGCTTTTCTTGAGCTCTTCGTTAACGATTTTCGCCGTTTTTTTTTTTACATCTCTATCCACCGTGCCCATCCCCTTCCCCCCGCATGGAAACCTCAGGCAGTTCAAGATGCTGTTCCAGACGCCTATATCACGGTCTACCTGGCCCTGTTGGAACTCTACAAGTCCGGAGGCATCTACGTAGATCTGACGACGTTCTTCGTTCGGCCGCTGCCTACTGGTTTGGACGGGTTCGTGGCTGGAGGGGAAGGGCCCGGGAGCGCCGGAGCCGGGGGCGGGGCGGGGGGCGACGGGAGGGATTGTTCTGTCCCCACTTCAAATGACAGGCTGCACAGGCCGCTCGTCATGCAGGTGCACGTAGCGACCGTCTGTCTGTCTGTCTGTCTGTCTGTCTTGTATATATATGTAGTATTGTACGTATGTACAAGGCATCCCTCCGGAGTGGGGTAAAGGAAGCACCGCTGCAAGGGGTGATGCAAGAACATGCAAAAAGTTGACAGCAGAGAAACAACAGCAGTAAATATTGCTGTAGATCCAGTAGTGCCAACAATAAAAGGACTCGCGTCAGGTCGGCGCGAGTTTTTTTTGCAACGATTTTCTGGATTTGTTTTGGGGAAAAGCCCGCAGCTGTGCCGATCGATGTGAATATGTGTGCGTGCATGCCAACCTCCCCACCTCGTGCTCGGTTCTCGTGCGTGCACTGCTCTGTACCTCTGTACCTCTGTATCTCTGTACCTCTGTACCTCTGTACCTCTGTACCTCTGTATCACTGCTGACGCCGACACAACATACATTGCTCGACTACTGTAACACTGCTGGAAACTACATGGATGGGGCTGCTCTCTGCTGCTGCTGTACGCACGTATCGTTCATTCAGCAGGACGAACGACGAATGATTGTGCGGCTTTTTTTTTTCTGGGTTTTTCTTGGTTGAAGCCCCGCATACCACCGCATACATGTGTATGTCATATGTGTGTGATCCCTCCTCCGGAGTGGGGTTAAGAGAGCACCGCGGCAAGGGGTGATGCAAGAACATGCAAAAAGCAAATGAATGAAAACATATACATTCTTATATCCTGCTCTCACACCTGTGTACCAAGAAAAAAGAGGTTCGCCCATTTTTGGGAGGTCGGCCGGAGCTTTCTCATCGATACTGCCTGCTGTGAAAGAGATCCTCCTGCAGCAACTTGGCTACATATTTTCTGGATTTTGTTTGGTTGAAAGCCCGCAGCCGCGCGGATGTGTGTATGTGCATGGCGATCTCCCGACCTCGGGCTCGGCGGTCTGCACGGAGGCGTGTGCACACTGCTCAGCATCTCTGCTGACACCGCCACGACATATACATTGCTCGACTGCTGCTGGAAACTACACACATACTTAGAGTTGACTCTATGTGTAATACAGTGGGCGGCCCGATAAAGTGCCGGTTGAATAGTGCCGGTTGCCGGTATAGTGCCGGTGTTTTCGGCTCGCACACACTGGAATATCAACTCGTTCTGTACTTTGAATAGTGCCGGTGAATTTCTCTGCACTTACCGGCACTATATCGGGCCACCCACTGTAGTTCATTCAGCAGTCGGACTCAATCATTGCCTCATGGCCATCATTAGGGGTCGAATTGATTGAGCGGCGTCATCAAGCCGTGTTTTTCTGTTTTCTCCGCGCACACACCCACCCACCCACCCTCGCAAAGGCAACGAAGAACAAACTATGTAGCATGTGCGTTTCCAGCGTGCGAACAATATCAGGTAGTGACCGTAGCATCGTGATGTCTGGAGAATCCGGTGGGGATGAGACAAGATAAGACTCCGGTGGGGATGGGACGAGATGAGACAGACAGCAGTCCAGAACATCACCCCCGTATGACAGATTGATATGACAGGCAGATCTAAACAGAAAAAAAAAAGTGCTGAAATTGCTTCGGTTTGTACCGCTTTTCTGCATGTACGCTGGGAACGCTACTGCTGTATTCTCGTTTCCCCAAACGTACACGCTCGCTCCACAGCCGCTCTGACAGCTGCCGCGCCAACGCTCAGCTGATGTTGTTGGCATGTACGTGTTGACACAGGGTTCAACATCAGATCAGAAACAGCTTGTCACCGCGTACGCTTTTGGTTGAAGCTGACGTCTTGTGCCGGGCTGTTCGACACGGCAGACCCGACTCTACCAGGCAGCTGACGCGACAGATGGACAGAGTCAGGGCGTAACTTCTTACAGCCGAAGGAAGATTCTTGAGACTGTGGGGAAGCTTTTGCAAATCTATTTATAGTCTAATGTATGCGCGTACGTTCACTGATGTTTTATGTATGACAGCTGAAACGTTGAGCGTGACATGCGACCTTACTATGTCGGGATCCTCACTGCATCACACGTCCCGCAACGCTCTACTGCGGCTTATTATCGATCTCCGTGATCATGCGATTAGTACCATCACACAAAACCAACGCGAGAAACCGGTAAATGACAGACAGCACATCAATCCGGAGGCGTCGTTGCGTACCCCCCCCCCCCCCCCCCCCCCCCCCCCCCCCCCCCCCCCCCCCCCCCCCCCCCCCCCCCCCCCCCCCCCCCCCCCCCCCCNTCTAGTAGAAGTGGAGAATAGGGGCCAGAGGGGCAGACGACAGAGCCCAATGATGGGAGAAGAAAAGAAAAAGAAAAAGTGCCGTGCCCCTCAACATCCGATGGTTGTATGCGTCTTGACCGAGTACGAGGTGGAGGTTTGCCTTGTACCCCCCGAAGACTCAGCAATGCCTGATCAACAGCGCCTGATTGCTTAGCCACCTATAGATAGCGTTGCCAACTGCCGTGACCCCCCCCCCCCCCCCCCCAAATCCATCACAGTACCGTGCCCCAAAACACCCGGTGGTGGAGTGCGTCTTGTCCGAGTACGACCTGGAGGTGTCGCCAATGAACGAGTGCATCGCGTTGTCCAAGAACGACGGCTACGGGGGAATAAACTGCGTCTTGGAGGCGTTGGAGACGTGCACCAAAAACGTGAGATTCCACGTTTTACAACGGTTGTGCCCGCTCATGACCCAGCTTTGGACGGAAACTGGGCTGTATTGGGACGAACGTGTGTGTGTGTCTCTGCACCTTTTTGATGTCATGGACGAATTGGAAGAGTGGCGATGCCGCAGGGACATGGTTTCGGTGGGAGGCGGATTTTTCGCGGCTGTTGGTCGCGTCCGCACCATGACGTGACTAGGTGCCGTTCCGCAGCTCAAAGCGTTCCGCAGGCCATGACGACAACAGCAGCAGCAACAACAGCCACAACAGCTATGCATTAGTGGTTGACTTGTGTTGACGCAGGGTATACGCGGCCATGACTAACGTTCTTGAAGGGCCTGATGATGGCCATGACATAGTTTCGAAGTGTCCCCTATAATAGGTTGGTGTGATTGACATTTGCATGCACGGCTGCAGTATATGCAGATGGGCTACCCCCACAGGGCCATCGTGTTTTGTCGCAAACCCAGGCCCTTTCGAGCTAAAACAAGGCCTTTTTCAGCCATTTTCTTTACAAGGCATGATTGCGTGCGCGAGTGTGGGACGGGGCACGAGCCGGGGTGGGGGGTCCGCAAAATAGAGGTACCTACTTACAACACATCTATTGAGTGAGTATTTCTATCAAGGAACACGCAAGGGGCTCGTCGGCCGTACCCCCGCTGTGCCGGCCCTGGCTCGAAAGGGCCTGGTTTGAGCTCGAAAGGGCCTGAGTTTGGCCCGACAAGGCCTGGTTTCGGCTCGAAAGGTTCTGGATTTGTTGTTGTTCCGCTGTTGTTCCCGTGGCTAAGCATCCCTTTCCTCGCTTGCGCGATTTTTTTCTTCGTGACGTTTTCGCAGAGAGGCCTGACGAACGACCTGCGGGAAGCCGGTGTAGTGGCGTGGCACGGATGCAACTCCGCTACGGCGAAGTCTTACACCACCCCTTCCCGGTGAGAGAACTATGTAGGATGTTGGAGTACAGTCGTGGCTCCGATATGTGAGGGGTACCTTGTACAAGGGGGCTCCCATAGAAGCGGGTCGAAATCGGTTGTCACGGACTCGACTCGCTATAGTTTGGGTGGGTACCCTCTTATTCCGGCACAAGAGGGCACTCCGAGGGTCGAGGGCCTTTGTTACACCAGCCCCTTACATCGGGGCCACGACTGCAGACATGAAACGACATGCACAACGCTGGTTGTTTTCCTGTGACCGCAGAAGGCAGTGCACTTCGGTTGGACGGGTACGGACATGTTAGGAGTTGCTGAGCAGAGATCGGGACTCGAGTTCAATGGTCTAACGACTACGGCATGCACGACTATGAGTACACCCCCCCCCCCCC